GGGCGGGCAGACTTCGGCCTCGCCGGTCCCGCCCCGCGCGGGCAGGAAGCGACGGCGGCGGGCGGGCTCGCTCGGCGCGTCTGCTTCAGCCCCCGGGGCACGGCGTTCCCCCGCCGCCATCGCGTTATTACCGAGCCCTCTGCACCGGAGCTGTCGGTAACGAGGCAGCCAAGGCCTACCCCTCAACCTCCACGGGGCGAGACCACTGCCCTTCCGTGACGGGAGTTGCTAGGATATTCTGTTCCTTCAGTGATAAGTAACACCTAACTTGCCGTCTTGATGGTAATGAGTCCAGGCAACTTCCGATTTCTTCGAGTTGAACCTTCAAGCGGAAACTATGGTCTCTATAAACTTACCAACCTTATAAAACTTTCTAGCAACACCTGCAAAATGAAAGTCCGGTAACAAAGCCACTGACAACTTCACAGCCTTTACTTTTTTCCAGTTGTAATGACACAAACTCACATGAAAAAAAGTATTGAACATTGTTAGTATTCTCATTTCGATGAAACATCTTGTAACTTCAGCCCTCTTTGCTCAATGCCAGTGAAGAAACCACCAACTCAACATCACGTAACGCAGCAAAGGGTCACAGCTCTGAAATCTGAGGATGCTATTCCAGAGACCTCTATAAAACTCTACGCAGCCTACTTGAAATATGGCACAAAGACCACAGCCTGCAAGAAGTTTCACCATGGGGCAAGGCGTACGAGTTTCTTGTTTTAAACACATCCTTCAGCTTGTAAAATGAACAGCTTCTAGGCTGAAGTACTAGATTTGGAGCCCTCATAAGCCTTAATGGAATCAGTAACAAGACTGAAACAGCTGTAAATCAGAGGGTTGCAAGTTGCTTGTTTTTAGAGTAAAATTCAAATAGATAACTGCAAAGCTAATTTTGGAATAAAGTCTGTGAAATACCATATCCTTAACACTACTATTGCACTAAGAAACCATGATTCATGGTATCACTCTCTTTTCCTTCTCACTTCCCCCACCCCAACAGCTGAAGCTGGAAGGGGACCTCTGTCAACCACACAAGTCCAACCACTTGGCTCAAGCAGGCTCAGCTACATGTGGCCCATGGCTCCCTAGGGCCACATCCAGCTGGGTTTTGAGTATCTTCAAGAATGAAGACTTCACAACCTTTCCAGGCAACCTGTTCCAGTGTTAGACTGCCCTTCACAATGGAAAAGTATTTTCTTGTGTTCAGACAGAATTGCCGATGTTTCCATGTATACCCCAGTTTTCAAATATTAAGCTTCAGTTTTCGAAGACGATAGCATTACTGTACTCTTGGGAAAAAATCCAAAAGAACAGTAAGGACAAGTATGAATATGAAAAAAATTAAAAGATGTATGAATAAATATACTTCTGTGTAACTTTTCTCCTTTCCATATAGAATGCATTATGTAAACCTTCCAGCATAACATTAAAGGAAGTGACAAGTGGAAGAATGGCAATATTTTCTTTAATGAAGAAAATATGATTTGTAATCTTGAAAGAGTAACTTTTTTATCCAGTCTGAAGGACTAAACCCAAGCTTTATACAGATTCATAGCCAACCTCTCAGATTTTTCATGTACAACCAAATATTTCAGGCAGCACATTTAATGTAGGAGTTTTCACTGGTTTTGATTTTAGAGACTCACGTTTACATTCAAACTTTAAAGAATAAAAAGACACAAAGCTTACAGATCAAGGAACTTGCTACCCTCTGTACCAACAATGAAACACTCTTACTGCTTTCCCTCTGTATAGTACAAAACCAAGATGCTAGAAAGGATTACGTAATTAACTTGGTTGCTTTTCCATTCCATGAACCCAACGCTCAACAGCAAGATACGAGTTTTGAGAGGCATTTTATTTAGACAACTGAAAACAGTTAAACGTTCAGAAGCAGCATACAATGAAACAAAACCCAAACCAAATACTTTTAGTACATAATCCCTTCTTTTCAACTAAAGCCAAATTTTCCAACTTTCAAGAAAAAAAAATGGGTAAAAGCCATTGTATCTCTTCTCCATAATAAAGAAAACACACTACAATGAGTCTAATGGAAATTGGAGAGACTGGATCTTGGCTTGCACGTCTTTGAAAAGACAGTAGGCAGTTATGCTAAAAAGATAGCAAAACTCTACTTGTTTTTTTTTTTTTGGATACTCAGTTCTCTTACAGACCACACCCAGCCAGTTCCACCGCATTCTCATCAATTACTGCCCATCTTTGCCTTATGCAGAGAGCGCACTCTGGAAGGCTGCTGTTTATCACTGTTCACTTGATGTAGTCTTGTATGTCCATATGCTGCGTAACAGTCACGATAATCAGGCCTTAACTTCAGGAGTTGAGCTGTACACTGAATCTGAGTTTTCAGAGGCAAGATCTTCTGCAATTAAGTAAGAAGGGTATTATTTAACTTCAACTTAGATATATAAACCAAAGAAATGTTGCAGGGATTGCTTAAAGACCAGTTCAGTTTGTTTTTCCATTTAACCTGATCCAGTTATTCTGCCTCATCTGTTCAGTCTGCACAGCTCTAGTCACTAGTCTGACACTTACCACGGTCATTTTCAGGAAAATGCACTCAAAGATCTTTTGAGAAGAGTGAAAAATGCCAGAAGGCACTTAGGGAAAACTACCTCTTCCGTACTAAAGAATGCTACCATTTTGACTGATCTTTTAACACTTAGCCGAGTTGAAGCTGGCAGTTCAGTGCATTACCTATTTCCTCCTCTGCAGTTCCTGGAAGGGTGGTCCTTGCTTTTGCTGCTTCTGCATTCTCCTCTTCTGTAGAGAGGAGGGAGAAAAAACAGTCAATACCTTCACAGTTCCACCCCCCACCTTAATGAAGAAAAAAAAAAATTCCATTTAATTTAGTGTTGAAGAGGAAGAGTTGGGTAAGCAATCCATTGCAAACTCACTTGCAGTTTTCTAGACATTGCTCCCGCCCCAGGTTTAGAGAACCAAAGTACAATATAAAATAAAACTATCATCCGCACTTCTTTCTAGAGATTCTTATATCTTTAAGATTTATAAAAGTAGTATTTCTTATTTCTTGCTCTGTAACATAAACATAAATCAGAC